CAAAGTCCTCTAATAAATAGCGAAATAAAACTACATTTTGGCTGGGTGCAGTGGCTCATGTCTGTAATCTCAGCACTTTCGGAGGGCGAGGCAGGTGGATCATTGGAGGTCAGGAATTTGAGATCAGCCTGGCCAACATGGTGAAACCCCAACTCTACTAAAAATATAAAAATTAGCCAGGTGTGGTGGCGCATGCCTGTAATCCCAGCTACTCAGGAGGTTAAGGCAAGAGAATTGCTTGAACCTGGGAGGGTGAGGTTGGTCTCACCCTCCTCCTCACCCTGGCAGGAGGGTGAGATTGCGCCACTGCACTCCAGCCTGGGTGACAGAGTGAGACTCTGTCTCAAAAAATATATAATAATAATAAAGACTACATTTTGGCTGCTTTGTCTATTGAGTAGCCATTCTTAATTTCCTTTTCTTTCTTAATAAACTTGCTTTCTAAGAAAACAAACAAACAAAAAAAACCCAACATTTCAACTTAAAAGAGTTTCTATCCTAAAGTTAGCATGTATTGCAAAAATTGTAATTAATTAAAATTACCATGGAAAAATCTATATTATCCATAAAATAGAATGCACGGATGCACTGTGCACGTTATTTGGCTGGTGTTGTCTTGGATGTTGCTGCCACTGCTATTTGTTTCTCTTACCGCTGGAATCAACTTCTGCCTCCTCCGCAGAGAATTCTGTGATGTTGCTGGTTGGCATTTAGGTACCATGTTGAATAGGAAACATATCTGAAAACCCCAGCATCCCTGTCCAAATGTGGGGATGCTCAATGAGAGGTAACAGGAAATGAGGCCATTTTGAAAGGTCAAGGATTTACATTCCATAAAGCACCGTCCCTCCAGGGCATACCATCACCCACCAGCATCATTGGAATTATTCCACTCCCCTAACTTTCTTACTATTTCTTCGCTGATGTGTACGGTTGAAGTCAAGTAAGTTAAATAGACGTATCATGACCCTCTGCCAAATGAGGCTTTGGACCCTGATTTCAGCCCTTTCCTCATATGCTCTTTCATTCATCTCTAACTTGCTGAGCTGTGGAAGCAAATGGAATAAAGCCTGGCACTGAAAGAACACAAACCTGGGCAACCTAGTGAGACTCCATCTCTACAAAAAAATAATTAAAAACAAATTAGGGGACCGGGTGTGGCGGCTCACGCCTGTAATCCCAGCACTTTCAGAGGCTGAGGTGGGCGGATTACGAGGTCAGGAGATCGAGACCATCCTGGCTAACCCTGTGAAACCCCATCTCTACTAAAAATACAAAAAATTAGCTGGGCATGGTGGTGGGCACCTGTAGTCCCAGCTACTCAGGAAGCTGAGGCAGGAGAATGGCATGAACCTAGGAGGCGGAGTCTGTAGTGAGCCGAGATCGCACCACTGCACTCCAGCCTGGGTGACAGAGCGAGACTCCATCTCAAAAAAAGAAAAAAAAATAGCCTGGCATGGTGGTGCACACCTGCAGTCCCAGCTACTCAGGATTCTGAGGTAGGAGGTGAGGTGACCTGCCTGAGCCCAGGAGGTCAAAGCTGTAGTGAACTGTGATTGCCCCACCGTAATCCAGCCTGGGCAACCAGGTGAGATCCTGTCTCACAAACATAAAATAAAATAATAAAATAAAAGAACACAGACTTCTTGGTTTTCCTTATGGAACAGAAAAATAGTGAAACTGCCCAGTTCAGCAATGAACCTACCAAATGCTTCAGGCCTAAAAGTAAAACTGAGAACAGGAAGGCAAAAAGATACCAGTGACCATGAAATGGGAAAGAAACATTCATTTACAACTCAGGACGATGCTTTTTTAATGGGGAGAGACAGAAGGGGTCATCTTTCATTGGATGGTTTATACACCAGACACGATGTGAATGAAGAACAAGGAGCCTTAGCTGAGAGAGCAATGTGAGCGACGCACCTAGAAGAAAGTCCTGGCTCTTACCTAAATTGTTGTACTTTGTCTTAAGATAGTGAGGGGTGCCCAGCAGGCCCAGGTATAAGCAAATCTCAGACTCAACCATGTGCAGTTAAACAAAGTCTCTAACTCCTTGGGTATCAGTGTTCTAATCTGTAAACTTGGAGTCATGATACTTAGTTCACGAAGTTGCTGCAAAGATCAAAGGTGGAAATATGTACAAAGTATCTGCAACATGAGGTTTGGCATTCAAGTCTTATCTTTCACCAAAATCTTGCAGGGGCAAAAGGGACACAGAAATTCACAATAAAGAGATGAAACTATCAAATGCATCAGCTCTAATCTCACAATTGCATTTAATAATGATTGAGAATAAAATTTTATCAACATAATAATGACCGTAATTGCTTAGATAGTATATTATAATGGGATTAAAATTATAAGAATTTTAAGAATAAGATAAAATTATAAGATTTTTTGTGCTGCTTACATATGAAAGACATCTTCTATCAAAAAAAGAAACCATCATATTTCAAGAAGCAGCGTAAGACTGAATTATCAATTCTCTCATTTGTAACTTCGTTGTAGAACCAATTTCCAGACATTCTTTTCTTTCTTTTTTTCTTTTAAGAAATGCCATTTCTTAGCATGAAAAGACTTGTAGGTTGAAAATCTGAAAAGTTTAATATAGAAGCAGTGGGTGATAGTTCCACTGCATAAAAGCAAAACCAGGACTGTAAGATGGATATGAGTGTGCTCATGATCTGGTGGAAGACCACCAATATGTTTTATTTCTGTCTAACTTTTGCACATCCCTGCAGGTTTCTCCTTCTTCTAATAGCAATAATGCAGAGTGGACTCCAAGGAGGAAAGCTGCACTGTAACTGCCTTGAAAAATTCACTATGAGGTAGAATTTTATAGTCTGGGTTAGAAAAGAAGAGGAGGCCTCCGGGCAGGAGGCGGTAATAGGGAGGTAAAGAAGAGCGGTAGCAAAGCTCAAAAGATCAAAGGGCTGAGCAGAACATAGAAAGCTCAGCTTTAGTTTACATCTACCACTCAGACGTTAGCTCCAACTCAATCTCATTGGATATTAAATGAAACATTTTCCAGAGCCACTTCCTAGCAGGGGTACAGCATCTCCAATAGTCCCACCTTCCACAAGCTGCTTTCATATGACATCAGGTAATTGGGCTTTATTGGACATTTGATATAGAAAGATACAAGAGAATATATGTGATATTCAGAATAAGTGAGAAGACCAAATGTACCAGTTACGATGATTATCAACACTGGTAAATGCTGGCTAGTCTTCATTTCCCAAGTAAGCTGTGTTAAAAATAATTTTGTAAATCAATGTCTGAGAATTTAGAATATATTTTTCTCATAGACACTAAATCACCAGTAATTGTCATTTTTGAGCCTAGTCTCCACAGTCTATTTTATCCACATTCTAACAAACATGTTTTGCAATGTGCATGGTAGAGGGGACAGTATAAGGAAATAGAACACGAGAATAGCTTTGGCTTAATTCAAATTTTTCGTTAGAACTTATTACAAGATAAGTCAAACTTGTTAAATTGCACATTTTAAGCTTGTGCAGTTTACTGCGTGTCAATTAAAGTTCAGTGAAGCTATTTTTTTTTTTTTTAAGTCCAAGAAGAGTTAAGGGAGCTCTTTCTTTTTCCTGTCTTAGGCATCACATAATAAGAGAGAAGACAGTAAATTTCAGTTTCTCTTATCAGTGCTGAAGCTAAACTAAATGAAAGTTTCAGAGGTCTTTGTGAGCTGACCTCAAATCAAAACAGAATTTAAATTGTCATCTTTATCTAAAAACGTGGTCTTATCTACAATCAACATATTTGCCAATGAATTAGGCTTATTCAGAATTTGAGAATTGGCTCTATCTGTTTATCAACAATTATCTCCTTTAATTTGTTTACTAACCTGTGTTAATTGTAGAACAATCAGAAAATAACAATGTGCAGACAAAAATCACATTAAATCCTATCCCTGGAGATCTTCTTACCGTCAACTTTTGATTTTTTAAATTCTGCTTAAAGGCTATGGATACAAATTATCTGAAATGGTACAAAAATCAAAAATAGTATGTATTTGGCTTTAGAAATTCCCTTGGATTTGATTTTTATATATTGGGAAATCATTCACCTATCAAATTACTACTATCTTCCTGCCTTGAAAAAGTAATTATTTCATTATAAAGGACTGCTTCACCAGCTCCTTATGAACTAGAATAAGTAGTAAGATTTATGCCCTTATTATTAATTCACATAAATTAGATACAGTTGCAATATGATGATTTTCTCAATTCAGAATTTACTTCCTACATCCATACTGATAGGTAAATATGACACCACAAAGATCCCGTCCCTGCCCCACTCATGCACAGACACACACTTAAACAGGATATCGTGCAGTCTAGCTTGTTAACATTGCACTACTTGTGACATTAAAAAGGGACCACTGAATTCTGATTATGCTTTTTATTTACAAATATATAAATATTTGGAAGCAAGTTTTATCAATATTACTTCAAGAAGTTACTGCCATGATTTTTAAAAAATGTTCTGATGCCTAAGAATGGTGGTGGTAATAAAGCAAAATATAACAAATGGTCTGTTTTTCCTTTCACTTCGTTTTGGCTTCCATTATTGTCTTTTCCTTGCCTTATCCATTTCTTAGTCCTCATTATTTTCTCTTTCCTTACCTTCACAAGAACACAGCCCATTAGCAAAAACCCCTGTTGCTTCACATATTCAATTACATGGTCTTTCTGACTCTTGCCTCTAATTCACCACCAACAACTACTTTTATTGCAAATCATACTCTAATTTTACTTTTGTTTATCTCACAGAATAAACAAGTTTGGAAAACACTGGTATGGATTCTACTAGGGAAAGAGTATTTGTGAATTAGAAAGCATGGTCTCTGAGATCAAACACACTTGGGTTGTAATCCCAACTCTTTCATTAACTAATTCGGTGACTCAGTTAATAGCTTAAAAACACTGATTCTCATCTATAAAATACTATGAAAATGTATACTTCATAGGCTTCTTCTTCTATCATTCATAGAAACAGAAGTACAATCAAAACCTAAAATCAAAATCTCTCAGAAGGATTTTTCCTGTGACCTACAGCAGTCCCAGAACTTCAGGGTAAATTACCTGTCTTGTCATCTGTAGGCTGCTCTCCTCTTGCTGTCTCCTACCTTTTGTGCTGTCTCTACTACGTCCTCAGCTCCAGCATGTATCTCCTGCCATGACTCACTCGAGATACCAGTATCCCAGCCAGAAGCTCTGGTTTGATCTAGAGCAAATGAAAAGGCAGAGAACCAGAATCAAACAGTAGGATACAAATCTAGACTCTGCCACTTACTATCAAACTTTAGCAAGTGATATAGTTTGGAGGTTTGTCCCTTCCAAATCTTATGTTGAAATGTGATTCCCAATGCTGGAGGGAGGTCCCAGTGGGAGGTGATTGGGTTATGAGGGCAGATCACTCATAAATCATTCAACATCATCCCCTTGGTAATAAGTGAGTTTTTGCTCAGTTAGTTCACAAGAGATCTGGCTGTTTAAAAGCCTGGGACCTCCTCATTCCTCACTCTCTTGCTCCTACTCTCACCATGGAATGCATCTGCTCCCTGTTCACTTTCTGCCATGATTGTAAGCTTCCTGAGCCTCTTACTAGAAGCATGCTGTCACCATGGTTCCTATGTGCTCTGCAGAATCCTGAGCCAATTAAACTTCTTTTTAAATTACCCAGTTTCAAATACTCCTTTGCAGCAGCACGCATACACTAATACAGAAAATTCATACCGAGAAGTGGGATATTGCTATAAAGATACCTGAAAATGTGGAAGCAGATTTTGAACTGGGTAATGAGAAAAGGTTGGAAGAGTTTGAAGAGCTCAAAAGAAGACAGGAAGATGAGGGAAAGTTTATCACTTCTTAGAGACTTGTTAAGTGGTTGTGACCGAAATGCTGATGGGAATTTGGACAGTGAAGGCCAAGCTGATGACCTTCACTGTAAAGTTTACCCATGCTATACCTTAGCAAAACACTTGGCTGCATTGTGTGTATGACCTAGGGATCTGTGGAAGTTTGAACTTAGGAGTAATGACCTGGGGTATCTGGCAGAAGAAATTTCTAAGCAGCAAATCTTTCAAGAGGTGGCATGGCTGCTTCTAACAGTCTATGATTAGACAATGAAGTAAAAAAAAATGACTTAAAGTTGGAGCTTTTATTTAAAAAGGAAACAGAGCATAAAAGTTTAGAAAATTCACAACCTGGCCACGTGGCAGAGAACAAAAAAAAGCATTTTAAAAAAGAAATTCAAGTAAGGTGTAAAGCAATCACTTGCTAGAGAGATTAGCATGACTAAAAGGAACAAAGTGCTAATAGCCAAGGCAATGGGAGGAAGTTCTTGGAAGCACTACAGAGATCTTGGAGATAGCCCCTCCCATCCCAGGGCCAGAGGTCTAGAAGGAAAGAATGATTTCAGGGCTCAAACACAGGGCTCTGTTGCTTGTGAAGACAGGACACTGCTCCCAGCATCTGGGCTGCTCTGGCTCCAGCCTGGCTCAAAGTGCTCCCAAGTACAGCTCAAGCTGCTGCTTTGGAGAGTGCAAACCACCACAAGCCTTGGTGGTTTCCACGTGATGTTAAGTCTGTGGGCACACAGAACGTAAGTGTGAAGGAGGCTTGGCAGATTCTCCCTAGATTTCACAGGATGTATGGAAAAGCCTGGGTGCCCTGGTAGAAGTCTGCAACAGGGGCAGGCCCGCACAGAGAAACTACTAAGGCAATGTCAAGGGGAAATGAGCGCCCACACACAGAGTTCCCACAAGGGCACTGCCTAGTGGAGCTCTGGGAAGGGGATCTACTGCCCTCCAGACCCCAAAATGATAAATTCACTGGCAGCTTGCATCCTGAGCCTAGAAAATCTGCAGGCACCCAACTCCAGCCCATGAGACCAGCCGCAGAGGGTATACCCTGCAAGGCCACAGGGGTGAAGCTCCCAATGCCTTGGGAGCCCAGCCCTTGCACCAGTGTGCCCAAGATATGGGAGATGGAGTCTAAGGGGGTTATTTTGGAGTTTTAATATTTAATGACTGCCCTGATGGGTTCAGACTTGCATGAGACCTGTACCCCTTTACTTCTGGCCAATTTCTCCCTTTTAGAATGGAAATGTACACCCAATGCCAGTTCCACCATTGTCTTTTGGGAATAAATAACTTGTTTTTTATCTCACAGGCTCATATGTGGAAGGAACTTATCTCCAGGTGAGACTTTGGAATTGGAACCAGGGAATTGGGACTTTTGAGTTAATACTGGAATGAGTTAAGATCTCAGGGGACTTTTGTGAAGGCATGATTGTATTTTGAAATGTGAGAAAGACATGAGATTTGAGGGGCCAGGGAGGGAATGAAATGGGAGTCCCAGTGTTACAGGTGGGGCCTGGCGGGAGGTGGTTGGATTGTGGGAGTGGATCACTCATGAATGGCCTAGCCCCATTCCTTTGGTGATGAGTGAGTTATTGCTCATTAAGTTCAAGTGAGATCTAGTTGCTTAAAGGTTTGGGACCTCACCCCTCCCATTCTCCCACTCTCAACATGTGATATGCCTGCTCCCCTTTGCCCTCTGCAATGATTGTAAGCTTCCTGAGTCCTCATCAGAAGCAGATGCTGGCATCACACTTCCTGTACACCCTGCAGGACCCTGAGCCAATTAAACCTTTTTTCTTTATTAATTACCCAGTCTCAGGTATTCCTTTATTGCAATGCCAATGGAAATACAATTTAACCCCTTTGTATTGCAGTTTTCTCAACTCTAAGATTGACTCAATGATACCACCTCTCTTGGTTTTTTTGAGACATGAATATGAAGTGTCTGGTGCAGTACACTTTAGTGGAAAATAGTAGATGCTAAATAGCTGGAGTGATATCAGCATATCTCTTACAATGCCCACAAGTTAAATTACCTGTTTGATCCAAATCTATTGTACCCTTGCTGACTTCCTAAAATAAAAAATAGGAGCAAATATTCACTTGACGATGATAATCATGTGAGAGTTTGTCATGTTAAGAGATACAGAAATCTCTTTGTGTATACTTTACACAAACATGAACAAATGATATTAAATCACCAAATCTGTATTTCCCAAAGTAGAAGGAATTATTTTGTATGAGGTTTGTATTAAAATTCACATTCCCAGATCTCATACTTACTGATTCAGAATTTCTTATAGGGGCCATGGAGCTAGAAATCTGGAATTTTTGGATAATTTTATGTTGGCTTCAATTTTTTCCAAGGTTTACATACTGCTGCTAAGTGAAGGTCATTCACTGAGCATGAGTAGTAAATTTATTTGAAAAGTTCCCAGTGCATAGAATTATTCTCTGACCACATATATGGGGGGTTTCTTTTCTTTTGAAAAATAAAATAGTCATGAGGAATAAAAATGTGTGGGAGCCTGAAGCTAACAAATCCAAAGTCAACATTGTTATATTTGTTTATAAAAATCCTGGTTGAAATGCAATTATGTGGTACTTGGAGGTGCTTGTAATTCAATGGCTGAATGCCTTTCATTCTTGTGCCCACCATCAACCCAATGGGTCAGTTTCCCTCAGTTCATGGTCCTTTCACATCATGAGTTCGTATATGCACATACCTTCAGGAACTATAGAATTATATATTCATTAACAAGGCTTATTTTCTGAGGCTAGCCCTTGACCATGAAATCCCTTCCGCTTGAAAGCTAGACCAGGAGATTGCTGTCCACATATAAATGGTTGTATGGTTCACATTTTTTTTTTTCCAAAAGAACTAGGAAAGCTTACCAAGACAAGTCAATCAACAGGGGCTGTACTCTCTTACAGATCTTTTCATTACATTCCTGGAACAACAATTTTCCAGAGAGTGTTGCAAGGTAAAACAATCTCAGGGGATTATTGAAGCGTTTTTGTGTTGAGCACTAGGGATCAGGGTCTTCCTCCTATGTACAGCCAAGCCAACATAGTCAGCTCCTATGAGAAGACAAAAGGGAAAACATTACACCTGAATTGGGATTACGCTCTGCCGATGCCTCACACAAGCATACGCATATCCACTACTGCTGAACACGGCGTTCCTGAATGCCCTCTGGGGATTCGTGAAAAGCCTGGTCTTTTTATTCTCATTAACTGATACTTCATTTAAAATATCAATTTACCTGTATTACAGTCCAGATACTTCATGAGTTGTTGTTCTGACCCAAAATTTTAGCAGATACTAGCTGGCTCCTTACTAAGCCCATTTCATCTTCTCCTCAGGCACAAAAATCAAGCGTCTTCTCTAGCCTTCCTTGCAAAGAGACATGGTTGTGAGCCTGAGTTCCAGCCAATGAAATTAAACAGAAGGGATGTGCCACTTCCAGAGCTGGCTCATAAACAGCCTTCCACACCATATACACTAGGTTCCTTCTCTATCCAGTGGCTTGTATACATAGCTACGTAGGAAGCTATGTGTTAAAGATAATAAAGCAAACAACAACAACAACAAAAAACCCAAGTTCTTGAATCACCACTTGAAGAACAGCCCACCAATCAAGAATACCTATTTTATATGTGCAAGAAATACACTCCTATTGTATTAAAGAATTGCAATTTTAGCTTTTTATGTGGTATGGTGGTTAGCACTACCCTAATACATAAACCTAGCACATGAGTGTATCATATGTTGGAAACAAACCAGTTACAGCCACCAGACATTGAGTCCTCCAAAACATACTTCCAACTCAACTGTACACAAAAAAAGTTTTACATAGTTCTCATATTAAGAACTATTTTTCTCATAGTTTACTTAATGATCACTGAGAAAGGAATTCAGTTTTAAAATAATGATAATCCTTGACAAGAGTTTACAAAACATTTGCACGTTGTCCTCAGATGAAGATGACAGAAAACATTCTCATTTTCTCAGGAAAAAGAAAACTAGGGGAGATGAAATGACATTTCCAAAATAACCCTGGTAAGTGAAGAAACTAGAAATCAGACTTTGGTCTTCTGACTCTAGATCAGACCAATGTTCTAGAATTCAGAACTTGGTCTTTTGATTATTTCCCTCAAACTAACTTTTTCCTTTGCACTCTTGATGAAAACTCATAGCCACTTCTCATAGAGAACAAAATCAGCTCAAGCCTGTTTGCCATAAGGCAAATATAACACAAAACACTCCTATTTAGTGTCAGGGTCAATTGATAACTTGAATAGAAACCAGTGCATTGAGAATGTCCTGACTCCCCCTAAAAGTCTATGGGGTCCTATTCCTGATTCTTATTTGCATTTTTGAGTTGCTAGTGTCGTCTTAAAAATCATCTGGTCTGATTTGAGGCTCCTGATTCCAAACTCTGACTCTCAAATCATATTGTACTTGCCTCAAGCTAACATACTGTATCTAAACTTATTTCATTTCATTTAACCAAGTTTTCTCAGTTGAAAGTACCCGATTTTGAATCTTTTCTTCTGTAAGAGGTCAGAACAAATGTAAGCAACCAAGTTTGTTTTGCTGAGATCCAGTAGAATGACCACAGCTGGATTTGTTCTGATTCTAGACTCAGAAGAACATTTCTGTCTGTCACTAATTTTTCACTACCCTTAAAAACTTCTGCTGGCAAAGGATTAGATGTTAGTTTGTGTTCTTCCACAGGCATTTTTCTTTTAAGCCCAACAGATTTTCTCTCCATGAGATGCATTGACTTCTTAGCGGACTCTAGGATAATCCATCCCACTGGAACACTCAGTTTGCATCTCAGTGTGACAGCAGCCCTAGCACGCCAGCACCATCATGGTAATAACTTACAGCTGAGCTTGCTGCATTCTAGCCCTTTTAATGTAACTGTGTGTGTACAAGTATAAATATTCCCAGAGACGAGGAAAATATGCTCAATTATTTTATTGCATTATTCTACAGTGTACATCGTGTCTCTCCAGGCATTGAAAATAGCCCAAGTAAACCACAAATAAGATAAATCCTGTGATCATCAAAATGAGGACACAATCCAAAATATGACTTTGGTTTGTGGTTGAATATGTTTGAGTGGAAGATTATTGTCTGTTTCATCTTGATTCTGTTTCTTTTATGTTATATTTAAATTAATTACACATGGAAATACTTCTACAATGAGATATGGTGATGATTTCCTAAGAACAAAGTGTGGTGGAAATCCCTGGATTTATCTGGGAAACATTTGATGCGAAATTACTTCAATTTTTATTTAGTTATAACTCTGACATCTAACAACAACAACAACAAAATGCTGCATGTGACAATTCTCATTGTCAATCTTGTTTCTTCTTATTCAAAAAGAAGAAAAGAAAAGAATGAGAAAAACAAAAATCATTACTGTAACGATATGAAGGTCAATTAAAAAAACATATTGCAAGACCCAGGTAATTGGACTTGCCAATCATAGTTTCCTTTCTCATGTATTACATTATTTAGTGTCTATTAGGCATCCTTAACTCACAATATGTTATTTACCACGTAAGAAAGGCATGGATAGTTTTTACTCTAAGTGGAATACGAGTTCCTATTTTATGCTGTGTAAATATAGTTTCTAAAAGCATTAGGTCCTACTTTGAAATGCCTATGTGAGCCATAGATGAGGTGAACATTTCATTTCTAAAAAGCACTGTGCTTTGTCTCTTTATCTTGCCCAGAAAAGATGTCCAGAGAACTAGCTTGGATACTCAATCAGAAGGAAATAGCCAAAGTATTTCATTAATATACTTCCTTAGTTATCGTAAATAATAAAAAGACTAGAAAGAATTGCTAGGTTTAAACAGAACATAGGTGTACAATAATTAATTGTTGAATGAATGCATGGAGGGATGAATTGATGAATGATTGGATGAAAATAGATGGATTATTGCTGCTGAGTAGGTCCATGTCTGAGCTGATGTCAAATGTGATGATAGAGGTATGAGGAAATTTCCTATGGAGACCTTGCTGAGGGGGAAGGGGCCCACTGTGATGGTTATCATCAGTATGGAGCTTTCACAAATCTAAATAAATTTCTTTCCATAAAAAGTATCTACTATTTTTCCTTACATGACCCTTTACAACGACATTCTGGGAAAATAAGACTTCATAGAGGAAAGTGTTAACATGCCCTTCCATAAAAAAAAAGTAAAAGTCTGAAGAAGGAATAAGATTTGGTGAGTGTCACCATCAGAAATATCCATGGTGACACAATGAGAGAACACTCTATACTTGTTAGGATGGTTATCTTAAAAAGAAAGAGAAAGAAAACTAAGTGTTGGCAAAGGTGTGGAGGAATTTGAATTCATGTGCATTGCTGATGAAAATATAAATGATGTATGCACTTGAAAAAAGGGATGGTGATTCCTTAAAAACATTAAACCTATAATTACCATACAATCCAGGAATTCTATTTCTGGATATATACCCAAAAGAACTGAAAGCAAGGACTCAGATATTTATGCACTCGTGTTTACAGCACCATAATTCACAATAGCTAAAAAGTAGAAGAAAGCTAAATGTCCATTAATAGATGAATGGGTAAGCAAAATGTGTTGTATAAATATAGGGAATATTTTTCAGCCTGAAAAAGAAAAAAAACTTGATACACACTACAACCTGGGTGAATCTTGAGGACATTATTTTACGTGAAATAAGCCAGTCACACAAAAAGACAAATATTGCATGATTCTACTTGTCCAAAATAACTAAAGTAATCAAATTCAGAGACAGAAAGTAGAATGGTGGTTTCTAGGTGTTGGAAAGTGTGGGATAGGAAGGGAGGAATGTGGAGTTAGTTTTTAGTAGGTATAGATCTTCACTTGGGAAAGAAAAAGTTCTAGAAAGGGATGGTGGTGAGGGTTCACAACAATGTAAATGTACTTAATGCCACAAAACCATTCACTGAAAAGTTATGTGTATTTTACCATAATAAAAATAAATATCCATTAGAACAAAAGTGTTTTATGCAATTAAATATTCTCCCAGCAGAAGTCCAGGAACTATGAATCAAAGGCTAAGATTTAATGACCTTTGTAAGAGTCACTGGATCTTTGCGTTTTCTTCTTGTATTAACACTTTTTCTCTCTGACCTCACTTATTATTAATAACAGAAAAGAAACTTAAAATTCTAATGTCTTGTTTGTTGACCTTTAGGAGGAAGAAAACTACCAGACTTTCTTTAACTCTGAAGCAAGCAAAAAAAGGCAGAAAATGCTGAAGGAATTCATAATTATTATTATAGACAAAAAGGAAAAGAAAACTAGGACTAGAACACTGTGACAAGAACGAAACAGTACTGGATGACATCATGTTTTATATGACTTTCCAATAACAGTTCAGATAGAGCCTACAAGAGACCAAAACCTCACCATCAAGAGAAATAGAAGCAGAAAGAATAAAAAGGGTGCTGAAGAAGCACAACATAAAGCTGAGGTATGGCAGATCACCAGCTCTTTGCTGCATCTCGATTGTGTCATTCTTCTACATTGAATTCTACTTAGAAGTATTTGTGCCGATCTTGCCTACTAGGCTTGGAATTCTCTCAGTTGGCATGTAGTAGTCATTCAATAAACATATGCTGAGGAAATGCATGATGAATAAATAAATATGTGAATATGCTAACATCAGTTGGAATTCTATTCAATCCATAAAACCTTTCAAGGTGCAGTGAATGTTCTTCTCCAGGAATTGCAGTGTATCAGGCAAGCCAAATACATAAATAATTAATAGTAGTGGACTCTGATAAATGTATAATAGAGTTGAAAAGAAGTTAATAAAAATGAAGACCACAGAAAGGCTTTTCAGAGGAGGTTAGATTTTAATAAGCCTTTGAAAAACGGGAAGATTCTGGAAGGTAGCTAAGAAGCAATTAGAATCCTAGAAAGACGGGAAGACCAGTGTGCTTCAGGACACAGAAGCAGGAAATATACAAGCTGTCATTGGAGAACAGCAAGTACCGTTTCTAGTCTCATAGAATTAAGAATGTATTAGTGAAGGTCTTTTG